GACATAATGGTGGCCAGGAGAGGACTGATTATTTGGCCCAAAATGGATCCTGTAAATATTCGGGATGGTCAGCGCGTGTCCGAAAGACGTGGTTCGCAAGAACCAGCGGACCCTCTCAGCGTGAGATCGATTTCGCCGGGAGCCGCATCGAAAAAGAATTCCGGGATTAAACGTTGACGTCGGTCGATTAAGCGCAAGTACATCCCTCGGTTGCAATAACGAGACTGTACATAATTGGATGAACTCCCGAGGGAACTGTAAACGACAGGCGGATCGCGTATCAGCTGTTTTTGGTGCAGTACAAAGTGACGTGCATCATATATTCTGCAATTTGAGAAACGCAGAAATTTTTGCAAGTGAAAAATTTTCTTAATACCTTTCAAACTAATTGCTATATAGGATATTTTTATGGTTATAAATTAGCTGTAGATATTTTTATTTAGAAATATCTACGCGATCCTCTTTTGCCTCCCTCCCCACTCTTTCTCTTTCTGGATCTAAGATAAGAGATGGTAAGTATATTAAACACTCTTCAAATTAATTGTAGCACGTTTTCATGATTGAATTAACTGTGGATATTTTCTTTCGAAAATATCTACTACACGCTTCTTTCCCTTCCTTTTTCTATGTTTAAGATGAAAGACGATATAGGGTATTCAACACCCTTAAAAACCTAATTATACTGTTGTAGTACTTCTTCATAATTAGATTAGCTGTAGATATTTTCATTTAGAAATATCTAGGACACGTCTTCCTCCCATTTTCTCTCACACACAGTCTCTTTTTCTCTTCTCCCCTCTCTCTCTCTCTCTCTCTCTCTCTCTCTCTCTCACTGTGTTTAAGAAGATCCATGGTGGATGTAGGGTATTGATAAAACGGAGAATAAACTTGCGCTTAAATTTGCGCTCTAATCGTGCCGCGCGAAGTGATAGGCGGCCACCATGGATCACTTCGCCTACTGGAATTAATCAACGACGGAGCATCAAAGGGTTGTAGGCTACCCACCGAAACCGTTTGTTTATCGTCTGCTTGGCGGCACGCCGGTCCGTCTGATCGTTCTCTCTTTCGTCGTCGGAAATCGCCCGATCTGATACCGCCGGTCTGCGCGTTTCCGAGAACATCTTATATTTCTAATCGGTCCACCAACTGACACGCACCAGCTCTCCATTCACGAGAAAATCCGGTCTTGCCGTAACTGATCGATATCGCGATGGACGAGTGCTTGCGACGTAACAACATTACACTTCACCACGAACGGTGTGAACATTCCTCAGATTTTTTCCTTATCAATCCATACTTGTCATACACCAAATAAGTCGATATCCACTATCAAAGTGAACCGGTTTTTCATGGTTTTCCTGAAAGATCGATAGATCTAAGTACTACGAAACAGAGATCGATGCGATAATGAGATATCATATAGATTACAAACGCGATCCACTTTCTTCCCGATCTCTTTGCATCTCCCGGATATCCCGCGCACAAGCAACAAGAGTGCTATGCAACGCGATAAAGTGCGCAAAGAGCGAGCGATAAAAAGTGCACGGTTGTTGTTGCACTGACAGAAAGAGAGATAGGGAGAAAGAGAGAGAGTTTCTCGCCTCTCTCGTGGAGGCTCCTCGACTCCCTCGGCTCCTCGCGTTGTGTAAACATCGAATGGACGTCTAGTTAGTTTACACTTTGTTTTAGAGATGTTAGCCAAACACGCGCGCCTCGCTTTGAGCCGCCGCCACCAGCCGCGGCTTACGAACGTAAACCCACATCGCGGCCGAGAATATTTTTTGGGCTTTCGCACACGCGCGTCCGTCGTCGCACACACGAGGCGGTAGCGGACGTGGATGAGAGCAAATCTTGAAAAGGGGTCTTTCCCTGCGAAAAGACGATGAGATGAACGAGGATCGGCGGGCAAGAAACGCGCGTGTCTTGTTCGCGGTCGGCTTCTCAATGAAAATATGATTTATCGGGAACTTCTCGTCCTGCTGCAAAAGAGTGAAGAATAGGTGACCAGACATCCCTTTTTCCCCGGGACAGTCCCGGGTTTTCCTCCCTTAGTCCCACATTTTTTTCGAATGCTATCTGGGACGCCGATTTGTTCCGGATTTGGCAAAACTGTCTCGATTTAGAGGATTTTGCCTCTTCTTTTTAATTTTAAGTAAGGATAACAAGTTTTATTAATAGCAATAGTTTCTATTTTTATTGTATGCAGCAGGCCTTGTTAAATTATTTTTCACTTGTCTATATATAAAATATTGTTTCATATATATAATTTTCAATGATCTCTTTTCCTTCCCTCCGCTTTACGCATGTATAAAGTGTCTTAGATTTAGGGCTGTGTGGGAAATCTGGTCACTTTACACATATATGTATATTTTCCAATTAATTACCGTATGTATCGCGTGATGAAATGTATATTGATTCAGTTTTACTGTCTCCTCATGTGTGTGCAAATTTATGTGTATGTTATACAGAATCATACTCTCCAGAAAGAAATTTTAATTTTTATGTGAAAATATCATTCAAAATATTTTTAGATACAAATTATTATATATTTTCATATAAAATCAAGATCCTTTTTTAAAGGAAATGATTCTGTTAAAAAAATATTGAATATAATATTTTTACATTAAGATATATTTTTATATATAAATATTATATTAATATATTATAATCTCTAAAATATTTTATATAAAAATAAGTTTTATTATTTTCTAATATTTGGATATTCATCTTTAGCTTTTGGTTTTATAAAACGAAGATGATTTCGTAATAAAATTAGCTATAAAGAGGATTTTTATCAACCGTCGTGAGAAGAAGCCATCGAAGGTTCATTAAAGGTTCAACAAAAGGTCGACTCGCAAAATAGCTACGTCGCATTCCGTCGAGAATCACGCGGAGTTCTCGGTAATGCGAGCGGACTCGGTTAACTAGACGCGCTCGTGTAAACCGCCGTGTTTCGGTTTATTTACATGTCGCTCCTTTAACTTATGGTCGGTAAAACACTCGTCGCCGATCGCTACTTGACTCGAGACGTTTCGCCGAAGCACGAACCCGAGGGACGTAAATTCTATTTAACGAGATTAGGAAACAGCTTATGGGAAAACAAAGGCGCGTTCATCCAAATGATTGGTCTATCGCTGCGGTATCTCTCTAATATCTTACGACGTTAACAAATCAAGTTATTATCACGTAACAGCGCTCCAATAATAAAATGCGAGAAAGAGTCCGAGCATGTCTCGTGATGCGCGAGAAGAAATTTTTTTTTATCAACGATATTCTTTAATTCTCTTGTATTTATCTATTAACAATATCTAGTTTTTGTATTAACGATATTCTTTTATCAATTTTATTCTTGTTTATTTCGACACGAGCTCTGCTTCTGTACACGTCTTCAAATTGTAAATCCAAATGTGTTATTTTTAAACGTATAAGAGTGTAATTCGGCTAAAGTTCTTTTAACACGTTTCTCAAAATCATCAATCGCTTAACACACTTAACACGCTCATGACGTGTAAATTATAATTTAATCTGTTTAAATATTTTAAATGATAAGACATGCTCTAAATTTCTTGGAGTGGAAATCTCACTCGAAAAATGGAATGACAATCGAGTCATTCAAATTAAATTGACTTCTCATTTTCTTATAGAGTGAATTCCTTCACTCTATATCATGGAGTGAAAATTTTCACTCTGTATCGTGAATTTTTCCTCGACAAATTGAGTAACAACCGTCATTCGAATTAAAATGACTTTTCACTTGTATGGAGTGAATTTTCAACTCGTGAAAGAGTGAATAATTTGAAAACAGCGTATATACTGTTATAAGAATCATTTCCATTAGTTAGTAACAGCGGCTCGATAAATAAGGCGAATGACTCAGAAGCTCTCAAGTTCAAATCCCACTTTTATGGTCAACGAATTTTTCCAAGCTATTTATAAATGGAATTAACTAAATAGCACACCATTAAAAAGATTGCAATCAGAGGATCTTAGCAACCACAAACAGGATAGAACTAAAGATTTTCTTTTTTACCTAATCATAAAAATTCACTTTACTTGGAGTGAAATTTTCACTCTAGTTGGAATGAAATATTCACTTTTATAAAAAGTAAGATGTCACTCAATTCAAAGTGGCAGTATTTTCACTGTCACTTGTGAATAAATATCCACTCGTTTAGGGTGAAACTTCACTCCAAAAAATTTAGAGAGTAAGACGATATGAAACACATGAAAAGAATCCCAGCCAAAATGACACGTTTGGATTTGCAGTGCAACCTCGTCACTTTCGACATTCCGTCCCGGAATCCTCATTTCTCACTAATGATATCTATATTTTATATCAACAATAAATTTTATCCCCAATTATTCCAATAAACCTTCAATTCTTTTATTTTTCTTTATTTTTATCACGAAATCTTCCTTTACACGCGTCTCCATCCTCATTGTCACGTGTCGTCTGACATTCAGCCCGAACTCTATTATATTTTCATTTCCTTTCGACCGCGTCGGGCCGCGAGTCTCTAACGAGGAAAGCATAACGCCCACAACAGCGTGCGCGGCGAATGATTTCCCGTTCAGTCTGCCAACACCGCGTCTTTTTCCGCGGCCGGACGACTTTATTCCGCGCTTCCTCCTGGTGTCATCGGTCCGCCATTGAATGGGAGGTCAGTTAGAGATCCCTGAAAGGCTCCTTCCTCGAGGGTTCGCCGGCGACGTCTAGTGTATACATATACATGTATTCGCGCACAGAGGTCATTGTGGCGGCCGACTTCACACAGAAGGCAGAAATCATACAAAACCAACCCATCGGTGGCTTCTTCTTTATCCAATCATCCGCGCATTCACGCCCCAGGGAGTTGTGCTCTCGCACCTTATACGCCGGCCATTCCGGACGTATCCATCACTCCGAGCTCCTCGGGGGTCGCGTGTAATGGATGCTCCACGTGCAGAAAAGGCGAGCGGAGCTCGACGAGCGAATTTCATCTCGATGTTCTAATTTCCAGGTGCGCTCATCGGTCGGACGACCAGTCGGCAGGTGCGAATTGTCGATCAGAGCGGCTAACAGCGCCACACCAAAGCGCCTAACCTAGCGAGACACGCGTAACCCGGGACAACCGAGGATATGCCGAAGGGTGAGTTCTGTAGAACGAAATTTCCGGCACTCCAACACGCGGTCCCATCGAGCCCCACTGAGCTATTCTTCTGCACGCGTTGGTCCTCGTTACATCCACTACGAATTAGCGCCCGGGCCGTCGAAGACAGTGGACCGTTGTGCATAGGCGGATGAAGGAAAGCAGATCTCGAGGAAGATCATCCACTATGTGTACATGTATCGGATTACGAGGCCGTCTAGAGGCCCTCGGGATCGTTACAAAAACACACTGATCTGATAGTATCGTAGCAATTTTACTTCTAAATCGAACACTATACATATACACTGGCTCTCGAGATGCGGCAGAAATAATATTAGCACGCACAGACATACACGAGCGCGAGCAGATAACGATTCAATTGAAATGGTATCATTAGAGATTCATTATCTATATATAGAAAATTTGAATTCTATTAAGTTAGTATCCCGAACAGTCGTAATATAAACTCTACCAGAAATATAGGCGCTAATTATATCCTACATTCACGATAGTGAATGTAAATATCTGTGTAATTTGTTCAGGATGTTACCTTCATAATCCTCAGTTTAATATCATATTACCACGATAAATTAAAAAAATATACATATTCCATGTAAGAATTCGGTAGAAATTTAGAAAAAAAAATTTACTCTCTCCATTCTCACGCTTAAGTTTTATGTCGAAGATATTCTACAAAAATTATAACAGGAACACTGAAGAGAGAGGATTATATTACTACATCATAATACTTATTATAAAGCGCAAAAATATTATTGTAAGTTATAAAAATATCATAAAAAAAATATTTTAGTACATTTTATATTTCTATATTATATTAGATTATATTACAAATATCTATTATATTTATTGTAAAAATATTCCCCTATTCTCCTGATATCAAAATACTAAAATCGGCAAACTGGAAATCTCAAAGGACCTCGCACAAAACCTATGGAAAATGGTTTTCGGTCAAATTGGCTGAAATTTCACTATATTATAGTTTTCGCCATGCTGATAAAAAGTTATCATTGCACCAAGTCCTAAAAGTCAATATTTCCCAAGATATAAAGGGTCAAAGTAGTGAAATATGTCATCCGCAGTAGTAAGACGTATGTTATAAGTATAAGTGATATATTGATATTTATTCACGAAATAAATAAAAATCGATTTTTACACACACACATATATATATATATATATATATATATATGTAATAAATATTTAGTTTCGCAATATATATGTATATGTATATAAGTTTTTACAAAAAACTGTTTCAGATCTTAAAAATATTGCGGAACTAAATATTTATTACATATATATGTGTAAAAATCGACTTTTATTTATTTCGTGAATAAATATCAATGTATCACTTATACTTATAACATACGTCTTACTACTGCGGATGACCATATTTCACTACTTTGACCATTTATATCTTGGGAAATATTGACTTTTGGGACTTGGTGCAATGATAACTTTTTATCAGCATGGCGAAAACTATAACATAGTGAAATTTCAGCCAATTTGACCGAAAACCATTTTCCATAGGTTTTGTGCGGGGTCCTTTATATCTTTCTCTCTCGAAGAATTTAGCACCACAATTCCTCTGTTGGCCAGACTCTGATTATAGGGACTCTAATAAGAACGTATGTTGGTACCATCTGTTAGGAAAATCCGCATTTCATAGGTATACACCTGGTAATGCAGGCGAACTAAAATTAGTATAGTAAAGCAGAAGAAATTATCGATAGAGGAAATGTGTAATAAGTGGTAAAGAAGACAGAATAGTATACAAGGGATAGAAATAGAAGAGGAAAGATACGGAGTCATCGGATGGGATGCGAAAGCAAAATAAAGAAGGATGATACCGGGACTGGTGGCATAGTAAGAAAGATGCTATGGAAGTAAGAAAGATGAAGTGCAAAGAACAAGAGGAAAGTTATAGAATATGGAAAACTGCTTCTTGGCGATGTAAACTGAAGGAGATATATAAGTAATGAAGGAAAAGACATAAAAAACATTTCATGGAGTTGGTAAGAAATATAGAGTAGAGTAAGGAAACTAACAAGATAGGGAAGAAATTTGGTGGAAAAGAAGATGAAGAGGAAATAAGGAGAGTAATGAAGAGATCGAATAGAAAGCGAAAAGTTAAAGGGATAGTGCACAGCTGAAGGGAAGAACAGAATCTGGAGTATTGTTTGTGTGAAAAAGAGAGAGAGGGGTAGAGAGGGGGAGGAAGAGAGAGGAGGTGGGGAGGGGAGGGAGAGGGAGCAGGGGGAGCGAGAGAGAGAAAGAGAATACAATATAGTAACAATATAGTAACTGTTAAGTGAAATAGGAAAGTGTAATTAAATATGATAGAGAGAAGAGATATAAGTGGCGTAAAAATTAAATGAAAATTAAGAAGATTGTGAGAAGAGATTATATGAATATTTAGGTAACGGGAATGATATTGTAAAGTTTTATATAGAAAGATAATATAACTATAGGAATTTTAATAACTAAATATAGATAGAAATAAGGAATGGATGGACCGAATAGCGAAAGGTCCCGGGTTCGATTCCCGGCCCAGTTATCATGCTTTGTGATATATTTTCTCTTATCTCTTCTTCTGTACTTTTCTTAAAGGTTAAATGCTGCAAATTTTCTTTCTATCAAACATAATCTTCGTTTAAGTTCTTGCAAATCGTTATTTGAAAGAACTGTAAGACTATAATTATAAATCTTGTGTAAAGGAGTTAATGTGGAATAAGGAATGGATGGATGTGTGTAGATGTGTGTGTAGGAAATATATCTGCGCGTGATAATATGGCAAAACAACATTGATACATACTATGACGTTCGAAACAAACAAAATATGTAGGAAAATTTATCTCGTGTCTTTACGTAAAAGAGCTTGCGGTGTGATTGAAACGACTGTGCTCTACGAGGAACGAAAGAACGTAACGTGACGTAAAAAAATAAACATTTATTATCGCTCGTTCATCTATTCTACGAAAAATTAACGAACCTTTCCTCGCTTCGCCTGGCGCATATTAATTTCAAGGAGATCTCCGATATCGGAGTAAAGCTGATCCGTCGTGGAATTAATGGCGCGCTATAAATATTGATACCGGCTGCGAGTGTGACGATGTACGCGGGCATAAACCCGCGGAAAAAAAACGCGTCACACTATCCTTTTATCGATGTAACCGAATGCCAATTATCGACGCCTCCGAGAAGCGAAAGGCGAAACCTTATAGCGAGCCTTCTATGTAGCTACCGGATTTATATCACGCGTATATAAGCGGGGAATGGGCGGCAACATTTTTACATGTCGCCTCGCGATCTTCGTCTTCAATATTTTTGCCAAGCACGCACTTCCCCAATGGTAATCCCGAATTAATGAAGTAAGGGTGCAACCGACGCGAACGACACCGTCTCCTCCGTTTCCCCCGTTGTATCTCGTTGCTTACAACGACACGTGGGTGGTGAATACCTTGTTAAGAATTAACAGTGGAGACGAGGCTCGTTAAAATTTCGACACCTGCGTACGTGTTTCGCGGGGTATCGACGATGCGATCAAGCTAAAGGGTGCCAAGAATTGTACTGGCGTACGACAATTCGTATTGCAATTCGTCATTTTCGCTCTCTTTATACGCCTAGAAAATTTTTGAAGGCATTTTTCAAAGGTTTTTTTTTAATGTAGGATGTAAACCGAATTGAGGTAACACGCGGCATCTTGACAATAACATCAATATAAGAAGACGAGAGAGAGAGAGTGTGTTGGAGCAGGAGTCTGGGTAACTCAGTGGGATTTAAAGCAGTCGCTCGGCAAGCGAAAGACTCGGGTTCGAGTCCCGGCCCAGCAAACTCCGGCTTCCGATATACTTTTCTCTCTGACTCTTACACAAAATACAAATATTTGTCGTTTAATTATGTTTAATAGCCCTCACGAATTAATTACATAATATTAAATTAATATATTCGTAAAATAAAATCTTATTAGTAGAATAAAATCTTTTAGTAGAATTTTATTGTATATGGCCTCAAGAAGATTCTTCTAAAACTAAAAGAAAAATATTCTCCAAAAAAGAAGACAATAGGTTCTATTCCTGTAATTTCATAATCTGTAATTTCTAAGTAAAAACTTTTATTAAAAGAGTATTCTTCTAATGAAGTGAACTAATCGGAAATCTACTAGATATTGTTCTAACTTCTTTCTTTTGAATGTATTTACTTGAAACAGATTGCCTTTTTATTAAAAGAAATTTCCATTAGAAATAAAACTTGTACTTGTAGATACATGACAAAATTTCTCTAATTTTAAGAATATTGTACTTAGAATATTTTTCTTTTAGTATTAGAAGAATCCTTTTGAAGTTATGTATAAGAAGATTCCATTAAGAGGATAAGCTTGTATTTATTTCAATGTTGTATCATTGTACTCAAAATATGCATTTTTTAATTTATGTTCATTTATTTCGTATTTTTCTTTTTACAATTATCGACTTATTAAAATGTATTTAGTTTAGTACGAGGATAAATTAAAGTTTAGAAAAATTTGGGCCATCCCGGGAAGCCTAACAAAGCTGTCACTTCAATTACGATCTCAGATTTAAACTGTTAACTGTTAACGATTGCTTATCACAATATAATTTTCAGACAATACTAGACAATCCCGAATAAAGAGTGGAAACATAGTTTACAAATGACTACCCTTGCCTGGTTTGACTTTAATAAAATGAAGTTAAACTTGACCCTGGTCAACTCGTCTCTCGTTTTACATTACACAAAGCCATTATTAAAATATGGCAATCGAGTTTCTTACCTTCTACAAAGTGGAACGGGAACATAAAAATATAATAAAAGATAAATAAAATATAATAATAAAAAATCCGGACTTCTCTTCTCTGTCTCCCAATATCAGTATTATACCTGCAAACATTTCTGTTTCTTTTATTTATTTCGAGGAAAAAAGTATATTTATTTTGTTATGTATATATTGTAGGTATATTGTA